TCATGTGCACCCTCTGTTCCCATATGGATGGGTTCCCCCACTATCAGTATTCTGCACCAGAGTGGTCCGTTTGTTAACAGTTGATGAAGTTTCTTTTCTTTTCTTTTTTTTTTTTTGAGACGGAGTTTCGCTCTTGTTACCCAGGCTGGAGTGCAATGGCGCGATCTCGGCTCACTGCAACCTCCGCCTCCTGGGTTCAGGCAATTCTCCTGCCTCAGCCTCCCGAGTAGCTGGGATTACAGGCACGTGCCACCATGCCCCACTAATGTTTTGTATTTTTAGTAGAGACGGGGTTTCACCTTGTTGACCAGGATGGTCTCGATCTCTTGACCTCGTGATCCACCCGCCTCGGCCTCCCAAAGTGCTGAGATTACAGGCTTGAGCCACCGTGCCTGGCCAGTTGATGAAGTTACTTAACACATCATTATCACCAAAGATCATAGTTCATATTCGGATTCACTCTTGGTGTTGTACATTCTATGAGTTTTGGCAAATATATAATGACATGTATCCAACATACATTATAGTGTCATGCAGCGTAGTTTCATTGCCCTAAAACCTTTTGTGTTTCACCAAATTATCTTTCCCTCCTTACAACCCCTGGCAACCATCATTGATCTTTTTACTGTCTCCACAGTTTTGCCTTTTCTAGATATTGTATGGTTTGAATACTTGAATACAGCCAGAACTGAAAGAAGTCACTGATATTTAGTGGAAAAGAGGAATAAAATAATATTTGACAGATAAACAGAGGCTATTTCATTTAAAACCTTGTACACTGTGGTAAAGCCTTCATTGCTATCTGATGTGCAATGGAAAGCTACTAAAGAAGAGATCTAAGCAAATGGAAAGAAAGTTTTAAAGCTCTGTTTTAGAACATTGATTTTGGAAGTATAAAAGATAGGTATTACTGATTAATGTAAAGTCTGTGAGCCAGGGAGAAATAAGCATAATACACAATTCTGGGACCTGCACCGTAGGATTCTGGTAGATGTGACTGCCAATAATGAAATGACTGAGTGGCCAGGTACGGAGTGAGATTGACCGTGACAGGGAGCAGCTAGGAATGACAAATGACATTTGAAATGTTTACGTTTGTTATGTTTGAGATATTTATGAAATAGAGCATTGGTTTTCTATTGCTGCAATAACAAATTATCTCATACTTTGTGGCTCACAACAGCATACATTCATTCTTTTATTTTAACAATTACATATAAGTAAACACTTTAGGTACATGTAGAAAAATAATTTTCTGAAATATATCTGTTTAATAACATACTAATGAATATTTGATCTTATAATTAAATCAAGGTTATAATATGTTATTGCCAAGAAAACTTTACAAATATATCTTCAGAAATGATACTCTAAATGATTCGCTTGGGGAGGAGATCAGGGGTGTATTTGTTTCACACTAAGCTTATCTGGAAAGAGAAAATACAGTTTTAAAATGGAAGTTAAGAATACATAGGTTCTTATTGGAAAAAAAAACAACCATGAATTCTGGTCAGGTTTTACTCAACAATAGTTGCCAAGGAAAATAAACATGTTTACGTTTATATAACTTGAGTTCTTATTTTTTCACAGTTCCCAGAGATATTATTCAGAAACATGTACCAGAACTAAAGTATCAACACATTAGAATACTCCTTATCTAACGAAGTATTTTCTTTAGTCATTCAGTGATTGATGGGATCGGCTTTCTCTGCTTGGGTTGTCCTGAAGGTAGAATGTGAGGTAAGGGCTTGGATGCAGATAATTCATTTCATTTCAGAGGGGAGCCCGGGAAACATGAGTGAGAGAGCGGGGAGACTGAGACAAAAATGGAAAAGAGCTAATTTCTGGATTTGTTGAGGAGGCTGCTTCCTGAAAAACTGGGAGATGGATTTCAAGGGGACTTCATGAGAAGCATTTGGAATGCCTCCCACTATTCTTCTTTTTTTTTTTTAAATTTCCCTTTTGATTTATTATTTGACTTATTGTTCAGGAGTGTGTTATTTAATTTCCACATATTTGTAGAATTTCATTTTTCTTTCTTTTTTTATTGCATTTTAGGTTTTGGGGTACATGTCATGAACATGCAAGATTGTTGCATAGGTACACACATGGCAGTGTGCTTTGCTGCCTTCCGTCCCCTCACCTGTATCTGTCATTTCTCCCCATGCTATCTCTTCCCACCTCCCCACCCCCCCGCCCCTCCCCCATTTCCCCCCAACGGACCCCAGTGTGTAGTGCTCCCCTCCCTGTGTCCATGTGTTCTCATTGTTCAACACCCGCCTATGAGTGAGAATATACGGTGTTTGATTTTCTGCTCTTGTGTCAGTTTGCTGAGAATGATGGTTTCCAGGTTCATCCAAGTCCCTACAAAGGACGTGAACTCATCGTTTTTGATGGCTGCGTAATATTCCATGGTGTATATGTACCACATTTTCCCTATCCAGTCTATCATCGCTTCGGCCTCCCACTATTCTTGACTTAAAGGCAGAGGTAGGAGCATTTATCTACTGGCTCTGGTCTCAGCCGGTTGAAGATTTTGGGAAGTGCAGGCTTAACGCTTCTGGGAACAAACTTGACATATAGCCCAGTTACAAAGTATCTTCTTTTACATCTCATTTTTCTTATCCTAGAATGAGGTTTCAAAAGACATCTGACCACAGGGTGTGCTATATTCTGCAAGTGCAAATTCATCTGAAAGATAGTAATGGTTATTAGGAAGTTTTACAACATTGGTCAAGAAGAAAATATCTTTATTTCTTATCTGTTTATTCCCCTAAATCTACGCTACTATAATAGTTTCTTTACTTAACAACTTCCAAATATACTGTATTTTTATTCTTCTGAATTACATCACATTGCATCCATACCTATATGATTATTAAGAGTTTCAGGTATGATGTTTTGTATATGACACATATTAAAACTTAACAGAGGTTAGGGCTTTCTCTTCTAGAATAAAGTGTCTATATAGCTGGAGGAATAGTGAAGACTTAGTTCAATCATCCAGGTTTTTGTAAAGAAGTAAAGATGTACTTAACAAACATGAAGGTACTCAAAGTTTGTAAATCACTGTTGATTTACACTAAACACTTAATAGTTTGTATCATTATTGATCCACTCCCTTTTTTTTGGCTGAATATTTATCAGGATAGTATGTATAAAACAGGTTATTTTTTTCTCTAAAAGTCTGTGAGTCATTTATTGGCTGAGATAATCTGACTTGAAAATAATTATCTTGTCCTTTTAATTTTTTGGTAAACTTATTAGACCTATATTTTAATGTATTCATAGACATAATTTTTATCTAAGAAAAGTACAGAGTTCAGATAAGCTTCAATTTCGCAACAGAAGACTTCATTTAGAGATCTTATTCTTCTACTTGTTCGGTGTTATCAGTAAGAATTTACCTTCCTGAGTCTTGGTTGAAACAATAACAAACACAGTAAGAACCTGGTTGTAAACAACAACAACAACAACAACAACAGCAACAACAACAACCAGAAACCCAAAGTTACCGGACTGAGTAGCTCTGATTATAAATTTTTTATTTAAAAATTTCACTGTGCTGAGCAATATATAGATAGGTGATAGCTAACTAGATAAATACATGCCCAGACTAGCCTGTTGAAGGATGAGAGGCAAGGATAAGTTGATTCAGCTGGCAGTCAGCCAGCCTCCAATCAAGAGCCAGTCCAAAGCTAGACATAGGAATGAGGCCTCCTAAATCACCCAGCTGGCAACTCACCAGGTGAATTACAGGTGCAATTCAAAGAGGGAAGAGCTGAATCAGCCTGATCAGTCAGCCTAACCCAAACGGTTTGGCTGACCCATAGAACTGTGAGGAATAATAAATGGTTGTGGCTTTAAAAAATATATTTCATAAGAATATTTTCACTAACACATCTCTGTCATCTCTAATAGTATATGTCTCTTTCTCTATTCAAATAAACATGTAATTTCTATATCCTGTAATTCACACTAATACATAAACTGTATGCAAACCTTCATAGCCATTAACTTTATTTTGCCTAAATCTATACTCAGCCAGATAGCCTACTTCACATTTATTTTCCAATAATTTTAATGAATATTTTAGTGAAAAGACTGCTTGAGAAAAATCATGCCAGTAATGTCCACATAGCTAGAAAAAACCCTCAAATTTTGCTCTTGAAATTCTGATGCTTTTTGTATTAGGTAGCATGAAAAGTTGCAAAACATCAAATAAGAGAAAAAGATTTTAAAAATAGGAACTATAACACCAATAGAGAAAATGAAGATTGGTTTAACTATGTAGGTTGGTGCAGAAGTAATTGTGGTTTTTTACTTGAATGTAATGGCAAAACCCGCAATTACTTAATGATAAAAATCACAATTGCTAAATACAATTCTTACCAGTTTCATAACAATCATAGAGCTGAACAGACACCGGCTTGATATTGGAAATGAGTGCATCCTGTTTGACAGAGAATGAGAATTGAATTTCTTTTTTAGTAACCTGAGAATAAATTAACATTGTTATGCATGTTTAGATGTATTCCCTCAATTTCTCTCCATTTCAAATATTCAGAATTATTTTAGCAACACTATTTTGATACTTACGCCCTTAGGAAAACTTTTTTAAACACCAGAAACAAAGACAAAAGTAAAACCACATTGTGCATCAAGCATATACATCAACACACAAACCAAGTTATGACAGTAAACTTACATTCTACGGGTAGAAAAAGACATGGGTGGTTTTGATTTTTTTTTTTTTTTTTTGAGACGGAGTTTTGCTCTTGTCACCCAGGCTGGAGTGCAATGGCGCGATCTCGGCTCACCACAGCCTCCGCCTCCTGGGTTCAGGCAATTCTCCTGCCTCAGCCTCCTGAGTAGCTGGGATTACAGGCACATGCCACCATGCCTAGCTAATTTTTTGTATTTTTAGTAGAGATGGGGTTTCACCATGTTGACCAGGATGGTCTCGATCTCTCGACCTCGTGATCCACCCGCCTCGGCCTCCCAAAGTGCTGGGATTACAAGCCTGAGCCACTGCGCCCGGCCGGTGGTTTTGATTTCTACTCGCTGTACTTTGCCATCTTCCTCAAGCTAAAAGAAAGAAGAGTGTGCTGAAAATTCAGGGAATTTCGAATACAAACATCTAGTTATCCAAAGATAAAATATTTGATTTCAACTTGGTAGTTTTCCTGTATCTTTATAAAACTTGCAATGTTTTTATAAACCTTCAACAACAAACATTAATTTTGGAGATTTATTCATTCAACATGTGTGAGGCATCTGTCTGTATATTAGTTTCTAATTTTAAATAAATAGAATAACAGAATGAATATAATAATAACTAAACATTAACTCATCTACCTGTTTTTTAATGATTCACTGTTTTGACAGTATAAGAATATAAATTATTTTGAGAACCTCATCATTTTACTTTCAGATACACATAAGATTCGAATTTACTCCTTAAGAATAGAAATTTACTCCTTAAGAATAGTATTCCTTTTTAAAAAAATAAACTTGTGGCCAATGTCTAGCATAGAACAGGCCCCAACACATTTAATCTATTCTGAAGTTATTTCAGCTGACAACATTTAAATCTTTACCTTCTTAACTGACGGTCTGTCGGGTACAAATCCTGAAAGCATCTTCACATCAATGATTGCCATGTTGGAAGAGTTGTGCTTTCCATAATAACTTTATTTTTTAAAAAGCACAAAATTTAAAATTCAGATAAACTTTGATCATTACTTAGAAAACAAATTAAAAATAAAACAAATTTTCATGCAAAAAAGTTTATTTTATCATACCCTTTATAGAGGTTATTGTTCTGAGATCGAAATAACCCAATTATAAACTGAAGTGAGTGGAGCTCAGAAATGACACAACATACATCTTAATGCGTTCCTAAGTGGACCCAGAGAATTCAACCTGGGTCTGATAGCCTTATTTTAGAATTTGATGTTTCAAAATTTAAGAGATTTCAAAACGTTGATTTGCAAACTAGAAACTAAGAAAATGTACCTCTTGAGGAGGAATTTATAGAACTTTTTTCCTTTGCAACTTCCTTCTCTTCCATATTTTTACAAAGCCAGATTTTTGCACCTACTATAATCTTATAAAATTTAGGTAATTTAAACAAGATAAAATATATTTTCTAAGAGGATCAAGGCAGGACAATCTTTCACATACAATAATTGGGATGTGGTTTCACTCTGAGGCAGAGAAAGACACTAGGCTACCTGAATTAGAGGAAGGGGGATATCTATGATCACCAAAAAAAGAGTAGTTACCTGGCTGAAACAGCAAGGTCAAATTTTGCATCAAATAATCCTCTGCAGAAAACATTGGCTGTATATACAGAAAGGGAAAATCCAGATGCCTTCTTAGGGAGCAGGATGTTGTATCTCAGAGTAGACTTGAATAAATATAGAATATGTTATTTATTAACTAAAGGATTCATTTTAAAATTATTACCTCCACATTAACATTTCAACTTGAAAGTTAATTTTTACCTCTCTGCTTCTTTTTTTCTATACAATTAGTAACACTAGCAACTTTAGTTGACATATTGAACATATACTCTGTAATTACTTTTAAATGCTTTTTAAATAATGTTTCCAACAACCCCTTGAGGTAGATACTATTTTTAACATCCATTTTATAGATGAGGGGAATGAGGGACAGAGAGATGAGTAACTTGTCCAAATTTATACAGCTATTGAGTAGTAGAGTTAGAATATATCTATGCTATGTTTGGATAATAATTTCAATAATCTGATTTCAGCCTTAAGCAACTGATAAAATTACTATAATGTCAGAACTTCAGGAATTAAGGTAAATATCATGAATACAATGAATAAGCTAAAAGAGAAATTATAGAATCTAAATCTAAAATAATATGACTTGATAATAGACTTGGTTAAAGACTTAACTTGACCTAATAATCCCACTTCAAGAAATATTTCCAGAAGATATACCTGTTCAAGTATGAAGTAATATATGCACATTATTAATTTCAATTCTATATATACTAGTCAAAGAAGGGAACTACTGTAACTGTCCAGAAACATTTAATATATTGAGTATACTCTGGTATATTGGACTACACAGTATGGAAATGCCAGCTAATAAAGGTAGAAGGTGTGATAGAATTAGAAAATCACCACTTTGTAGTCCTTAATGAAATAGTTGATCAGGTAAAGGTCATCAATGCATGTTAAGACTTTTAGGTAAAAATTGATGATGAACTCAACATTCGCATGGTCCCAATGTAATATTTTAAATGTTAATTGCTGGTGCAAAGAAGAAAAAAGCAGCAACATTAATGGGAAAGTATGGCTATCACCACCTTTAACCCAGGGATCAAACTTAACATCACTAATCATGATGTGCCTCTGGATGTGATACAGTATATCTAGAGATCTAACTTTTCGTTACAGAAAACACAGAATGAGACACCAAATTTAATGGAGAAGAATCTGATAAAATCAGGATTATGGAAATTCTATACTACAACTGGCCTGATCTCTTCAAAAAATTTATGTCACAAAAAATATAAAAAACTTGATAGATCTGTTAGGTTAAAAGAGACTTAAGAACCATAACCAATAACTGCAAAATACGGTCCTCGATTAAATCCTGGCTTGAAAACCGTAAAGTATATTTGGGGATAGAGGTTTGATAATTAAATCATATCATAAAACAAACTATTGTATTTATTTATTTGTTTAGAGACAGACTCACTCTGTCGCCCAGGTTGGAGTGCAGTGAAGTGGCATCATCTCAGCTCACTGCAACCTCCGTCTCCCGGGTTCAAGCAATTCTCCTGCCTTAGCCTACCGAGTAGCTGAGATTACAGGCACGTATCACCACGCCCAGCTAAATTTTGTATTTTTAGTAGAGATGGGGATTCACCATGTTGGCCAGGCTCTCGGGCCTCAGCCCGCAAGGAGGATCCTTGGGAGACTGTAGGTGCCAGCGTTCTCAGGGGGTCCGAGGCAGGGGCTCCGGAGTGTGAAGCTGCAGTGAGCCATGGTCCTGCCACTGGACTGTAACCTGAGCACAGCAAGAGCCTGTCTAGGGGGGAAAAAAAAGAGTGCCTAGCAGTGAGGGCATTCTCCCAGAACGGGAGTTGAGAATTCCTGCCTCTGCTTTCCCACAGCTTTGAGAGTGTGCCGTGCTCAACCTGGGCTCAGGGACTCCAATCCTGCCCTTGCAGAGCTCACTCAACACTGGCGCAGTGAAGACACCAGGTAGTGCCCCCCTAAGGAGACACCTCCTCTGCAAACGAAATAACGGCACCGTGGTTCGCTAAAAACCATGGTGGCACAGTTCTCCAGCCTGAGAGTTGCCGTGGTGGGTGAGGTACGCGAGGCCAGAGCTCCCACCCCTTATACTGCTAGGGCCTCGGCCACACCAAAAAAAGACACATCTGCCCTATGTGTTCAAAGCCTTTAAGAGAGCCCCAGCTGCTGTCCTGTTGCGTGTCCGATTTCCTGGCTAAAGGGTTTCAATTCTGTCTGGTGAGGTTTTTTTTTTTTTTTTTTTTTTTTTTTTTTTTTTTTTTTTCTCTCTTGCTCAATCCTTAGTCAAGGGGGTAAGAAAAGGCAGGTGCTCAGGGCATTTGTCCTCTTCCGATGGGTTCCTCACTGTGCTCCCCTCCAGGCCAAGCCAGCTCTCCCCTGCACCCTGCCCCGCAAGGTCAGCTTCCGCTCCTTCCCGCGCCTTTCACCCTCACCTGTGGGTAGTTCAGAAGGATGGTCCCGGTCGTTTTGGGAAGAAAAGGCTGTTGGGGAATTGGGGGATGATCAGGCTGCACGACAAATCGCTCCTGATGCTGATCGTGTGCTCGCCGGTCCCGCCCTTCCACCTGGGAGAGGAGTTGTGCTTGTGGTTTCGGAGTTTCTGGGAATTGCTTGAAATTCTATAGAAAACAGTGTGGCCGGTGGATATGCCGGTGTGTCATGAGTGGTGCAAAGTTAGAAATAACAAAGTCCACGCACGCTTGTGTCTTGCCACAATGTCAGGCTTTTATTGACTTGATTTCAATCGCAAAAGCCACAAGCTCCATGGAATTCTCAAGCAGGCAATTCTCCTTAGTACTTCGTACTTCCCATTCACTCCGGAGTCAGGGCTGTGCACACACAAGCTTAGGACACTTCACGTCAGTCAGTACTGCAAACCGTATATATTAGCATGCTTAATTAATATATCAATGTTAGAGGTTAAACATTCCCCAACAAAGTCACATTAATATCAAGAGGAAAAAAGATAGGAGAAAGCGTAAATGAACCAGTCCAGGGAGAGTAAAGGTGACAAAAGGAGTCCTGGTCTGGGCTGGGAGCTTTGCGGGTCTTGCAAGGAAGCGCCTTTGAGGATGCAGGGCTTTAGGCAGCAAACGCCAAGTTTTCAACATGAGTGATTGCAAAATGGTGTCAGTGAAGATGGTTTTGAGCTGCTGAAGGCCTAATCTTTTATAATAGGAGTCCACTGGCAAGAACTGATAGTGGAAGGGTATGCTTGTTTGTGTTTTATCTGGTTGAACAAGCCTTTTTGTTTTTTTTATGAAACAAAACATCTTTGTTGACACAGTGTCCTGTGACATGCTAAGATGGGGTTAGTTATAATGTGTTAGGTTAGTTTTCTATTTATTTATTTGAGACAGAGTCTTGCTCTGTTGTCCAGGCTGGAGTGCAATGGCACAATCTCAAGTTTACTGCATCCTACGCCTCCTGGGTTCAAGTGATTCTCCCACCTCACCTCCCAAGTAGCTGGAATTACAGGCGACTGCCACCATGCCGGATAATTTTTGTGTTTTTAGTAGAGGCAGGGTTTCACCATGTTGGCCAGGCTGGTCTCAAACTCCTGACCTTGTGATCCACCTGCCTAGGCCTCCTCAAGTACTGGGGTTATAGGCATGAGCCACTGCACCCAGCCATTAGGTTATTTTTCTTAGGAGGGGGATCTATAGCTTTCATTAGATTCTCAGAGGGGTCCGTGATCCAGAAAAATGTCATAAACACTTCATTTTGTGGCTCCATTTTCTAAATGAACCATCCCCGGAGAGATCGTAGTTTGGAGCATCAAGAACGTTGGGGCTGGAAGAACTGCAGGCAACGGGAGGCTGCCATTTCCCGCTCAGGGGTGGCGCGTGGTGTGGCAGCCCTGGAGTACTAGGATGTGGTCATTGGAAACGTGGTTTAAGCGTGGTTTAAACGAGGAAGGAAAGCACACTTACTGAGAACCTAGCTAGGGGCCAGGAGTTGGGCGAAACAGTTTGTATTTGTCTTCCTGCTTCAGCTTCAGAGTTTCCCTGTGAGGTGGGACTTCTTATCCCCATTTTACAGATGTGAACTCAGGCTCAGACAACTTAAGGGACTTCCCCTGTGTCATGCAGCTGGCAAAGAGACAGAGCTAGAGATAGACCTGGGACCATGTGGTCAAAGGAATGTGCTGTGTCCAGGGCATCATGCAGCCCTGTCCCATCTGTTGTGTCACTGAGGGGTGTGGTGGGGGGCCCTGGCACAGACACGTCACCTGACCTCTGGGAGGTTCGTGTCTTATATGTTGAAAATGGAAATGCAGTTCCCCTCCTTCACCCCACTTTCTGGCCGCTTGTTAGAGAGCAATTAAGAGCCAGGAGGACCAAGCCAAATTAGTTTAGTAGGCTCAACCCCACCTCCTGCTGACCCTCCAATCCTGGGAGAGGGATCTGAGGTGAAGGCCCTGGGCCAGGTCTCCTGGGACAGAGGCCAGAGAGCAGGCTGCTTCCACTGCTTCCTCTGTGCACACTGGGGTGGTGGCCAGGCAGCTTGCTCTGGTGCAAGTGTTTAAAGCCCACCTCAAGCTTTGTGAGTATCAGGTTCTGTGATCAAGGTGGCAAAGGGAAAGGGTTCGCGTTGATTCACTGGAGGGAGGAGGAGGGGGGCAGAGCAGAAGTGAGGACAGACCCAGCTCTGAAAGGCTCCCCCTTCACTCCGTCCTGTCTGCAGACTCTCTTCACCTCTGGATTTCTGCCCGTCATGCCCAAGCTAGAAGACCCCTTCCCTGGCCCCCATCCTCCACTTCCAACCTGAAGCCACCAAAGGTGCATTAATTCATCTGGTGCTTTTGGTGAGGGGCTGGAAGCCCCTCTTTAAACTCGGTTTCCCACTTGAGAAATGCCAACATGGCACTCTCGTCCACCCTCTCTTCCATGGCCCCTGTTCCTCCCCTGTCCTCAAGGGCTGGCCATGAAGGGCTTCCTTTGTGGCTGATTTCTCTTCATTTCCAGACCCGCACACTCCTTCCTCCAAAGCGCATTCACGTAAGGTGGCCTTTCATAAACGTCGGTAATTCATTCCCTTCAAACTTTAAATACTGCCCCTCTGGAGTGAGTGATTCTGACTTAGACGGGAGCCGTGGCCTGGCCTCTTTTGCTCCCTGTGCTAACACCCTGGCAATGGGCTTCATGTGGGCCTGTGCCTGAGCCGACAGCAGCCACCTTGAGGGACTCAGTCCTGCAAGTCCAATCACAAGGTCCCTCCCAGGGAGTTAGAAGCAGCGGTTTCAAGAGAGAGCAAAACAAAAGCCAGAAGACACGTGGGGGCTGGCATTAAGCTGTTGGAGACTGAAGAGATAGTGGGGCTAGGAGCAGAGACAGAGCCAAGTCCCACGGCCATCGGTGTTTGACCCCAGGCCCCTTTGAGCCCCATGGTGCTCCAGTTCTCTAGAGGTTGAGCTAGGCTGACGCCCACATCATCATGCCTGACCTTACCACAAGCCCCGCGCCCTGAGGTGACCCGAGCACATCACTGCTTCTCGAGACCTGAAAGAGTTCGAGGTAAATGCGCCATGGGGAACACACGAGGTGCCTCACATTGAGCGCTGTCGACGAGGCTGCACCCCAGGCTAGAGTCATTTTCAATCACCAGAGCAGGGCAGGCGTGGGAAACCCAGACCTAGGCATGAGCTAAGAAACAGACACAGCGGGCAGGAGAACAAGGGGTCCACAGTCAGCCCACCTCAGGGCACAGACCACTGTGGGCTGCAGATGTGTGGATGGAACAGACAGAGAGCCAGCCAGCGTGGCTGGGCCCCGACACCCAGCCGACGTTCAGGGGCTCAGCTCCAGGCCACGTGGGGGGCGTCCAGCAACAAATTCCAGCTTAGGTAGAAGGCATTTGAAGTCAGGCATGGAAAAATACTGAGGCACTCTGGGTAGGTCATTGGTGCGTGCGAATAAACTCGTTGACCCTGAAAACGAGACAGGGAGTGGAGTATGTAGTGTGATAAGGAACACTGAAAACAGCCTCCTGAGAATGCAGTTTGAGTGTGTACAGGGTCACACGCGCCTCACTAACCCACCTCAAACGGCCATCTAGTGGATGTTTGTAGTTAGTACAAGCCCTTTCAACAAACCCTTGGAAGAGGATGCTCGGGCGGACTCTTCTCAGAAGAGCGACTTCCAGCCCTGCTCAGTTGGAATTGTCTGAGTACTTAATTCTCGGCCTTCACTGCAAGCTATAAGCTCTGCAGACCGGCCAGAACAAGGCCTGGGGATGTCCGCTACAGCCCACAGTCAAATTTTTCTTTTCTTTTTTTTTTTTTTTGAGACGGAGTTTTGCTCTTGTTACCCAGGCTGGAGTGCAATGGCGCGATCTCGGCTCACCGCAACCTCCGCCTCCTGGGTTCAGGCAATTCTCCTGCCTCAGCCTCCTGAGTAGCTGGGATTACAGGCACGCGCCACCATGCCCAGCTAATGTTTTGTATTTTTAGTAGAGACGGGGTTTCACCATGTTGACCAGGATGGTCTCGATCTCTTGACCTCGTGATCCACCTGCCTCGGCCTCCCAAAGTGCTGGGATGACAGGCTTGAGCCACCGCACCCGGCCCACAGTCAAGTTTTAAAAGTTTCTTTAGTGCTCTTATCTTGATGGTGTGCTCCCTTAGTTTTTGTTTGAAATATTATCTTACTGTCATTCTTGAAAGATCACTGTTGACTCAATTCTAGAGTGACAATTATTTTCCCCTGGCACTTTGAAAGTATCATATAGTATGGTTTTCTGGCTTCCTTTGTTGCTGTTAAGAAGTTTGGGGTCATTCTAATTTTGTTCCTTTGTAGGTGATCTTTCTCTAGGTGGTTTAAATTTTTGTTTTTTTATTTATTTACATTTATTTTAAGTTCATTGGCATATGTGCAAGCTTGTTATATAGGTAAACATGTGTCACGGGGGTTTGTTGTACAGGTTATTTCATCACCCAGGTACTAAGCCTAGTACCCAATAATTATTCTTCCTGGTCCTCTTTCTCCTCCCACCCACCACTTTCTGATAGGCCCCTGTGTGTGTTATTCTGCTCTATGTGTCCATGTGTTCTCGGCATTTAGCTTCCACTTACAAGTGAGATCAAGCAGTATCTGGTTTTCCGTTCCTGTGTTAATTTGCTAAGTATTATCGACTAGCTCCATCCACGTCCCTGAAAAATACATGATCTTGTTTTTTTTTTAGGGCTGCAAAGATTTTCACTTGTGCTCTACAGAAGTATAGAAAATGGTGTCACAATCTCCCATGTGCTCATTCCCCAGCTACACTGTCTCCCTACCAGGATTATGGTGAATCAAGTCTCAGACTTCCTATTGTTTCATCTATAACAATTTTGGCGCAGATTTCTAAAATCACATTCTTTTAAAATGGAAACATTTAAAAAAAAGTTATAGTGGACAAATTATAGGGTAAAATGCAAGCTAGGCACAAATTTCTAAGGTAAAAGAGACTCCGAGATTGTTTAGAATAGAGAGGGCCTGAGCAACTCATCCAGACACCAGAGATTGCCAGTTCACTCTCATTTACCCATCCTAACTTCTGACCCTACCCATTTCAGGGGCTGAGCCGTTTGTCTGAGGTCACATAGAGAATGACTGGGAAAACCAGTAAGAGAATCT